ACAAGCCTGAGTCAGGTTTCCCACATTTGCCTCTTGTTCCTCCCCAGGGACCTGTGGAGTAGGCGAGTCTCCACGTGTACCTGTGTCAGCTCATCGATTACCCACCGGGTCACGCAGCTATTGAGACGAGATAGACATCTGCCCTCACCCACCAAACAAAACCCAGGCTAAGATAAATAAGACAGCTCACTCGCAGGGCGAGAGCTGGTCATGCGCGTTTCACTAAAGCAACAGAGTTAGATTGGTGAAAAGCACTTAAATGAAAGAGAATCTCCACCAGTGGGTCTCCTTGTTGAAGACAGCAGCTCCCCACAGTCCCTCCACTCTCTGCTTTAGGTACACTGAAAAACAGTATTGTTTTACGAAATGGAGATGAAAGAAGTGGCAGCGGGCATCTGAAAGCAGCAAGAGTAAAAAGGCATACTGAAAAATGCTGCGCAAAAGCACACTGCAGTGCTGCTTTGTTGCTCGCAGGTATACCCTGCTAGTTCTGTACTCACTTCCCTTCCTCTCTGTTAAAGACACTGCCTCCCAGATTTCTGAATAATTCAAAGAAATTCTTCCCAATACTTCAGTGATGCAGGCACTTGTTTGCAGCCCCCCAGACAGGCCCTTCAGCTCCTTGTACAGTACGTAAATCATGAAAGCTACATTGTTCTTCAGTATCAAATAATCTTCTAATCCCAGCCACCAACCAATTAAAAACAGAACAGAAAAACAACCAAAAAGCTACTTTCAAAGGGAGCGCTCTGGCAATTCCAAGACAGAGCAACCCTCTGAAACAGGAAATCTACAGTCACAAAGAGGGTGCTGCATGGCTTTGCTTGCTCTCCATTAGTTGGCCAGTTGAGCAATAAAGTGACATGGGTTTCCAAAGTAAAGTTTGCTTTGGTCCCTAATCAGGCTTCACTCCACCCTGAACTCCTGCTGACTGCAAGGAGAGGTTCAATGGAGTGAAAAGTGAATGAGGACTTGAAGATTTGGCCCTTTATGAGCCAAGATTTAGTTGTAAACTTGAAGACACAAAAATCTCTGCAGCTGAACTCAATGCCACTTTTGAACACAAACCTGTAGAAAAACTGTTTGTTTTCTTTGTGTAAGTCTTGCATGTTAACATGATTAGGTCTGCTGGGCAGGTGTCTCCACATGTCCATGTTTGCTTTGGCACATGAGCTGCCCCTCTCACCTCTCCAAATTCATGTAAATTTAGTGTTAAATCCTGCCCTTTGTTACATGAGAGTGCCAGGGAGCCCCTCTCCTTGCCCGCACCAAGGCTCGCTCACATCGCAGCTGGGCTGGAGTCCAGCCCAGCACCGCCGGGTGCCGGGCTGGGGAGGGCAAGCACAGGTACTCATCTTCCACAAACACAGGCGAGCATGGCATGGGATCCATCATCAGCCCCTTACTGCACACTCCCTCCTCTGCTTTTCAAGCTATTTCTAGAGCTGCCAGTTTTCCAGATACTTGTTTCCTCTGATGAAATCCCCTGCTCCTGGAAACATTTGATTTTTCAGTCATCCCACCTTCCATGAAAACTAAGTTTTTAGCTGTCCAGATGACATATACAGAGAAATGAGAACATGACCCTTTACAGCTCAAAACAATACACTTGATAGCATCTCCAAGCATCACTCTTAACGTTATTTGCAAGGTTTTCGGGACCCAGCTGTAGCACTCAGGGTGCTGACACTCTTCCCCGCGCAGACCAGACACTCCCTGATCTACCACTTGCCTTGCTGTTTGCTCCCTGCCATCAGTAAAGCAAAAATTTGCACCTGCTTTTTTAGATCAACTGAAGCAAACTCAATTTTAGAAACCATTCAAAAGGGGCTAAAATTCAGAAGGATGTAATGAGCACTAGTGAAGAGATTTTTTATTAACCTGGAAAAAGGTGTCCAGCAAGAGCAGCTGGCAGGGTGAAGACCTTCTAAGACAAGATATGCGTATTTAGGTATCAAGTGGCACATGCAGATCTCCCAGCGCTCCTTCCCCAAGTGCAATGAGGACCCAAGTGCAATCCTGCTCACATTTTACAGAAATCCGGCTGAGCCACAGCAAACTTGGCACCCTGTTGAGCAAGTCTAGATGCACTCACTGCTTTCTGGGCTTTGTGATTTTGTTTGTTTGTTTAGCAGATTAATCCTAAACATGCAGATCTTGCACCTCATTTTTTGTCTAAGGTCTAGGCAATGATAAAAGCAATTAGCTCCCTAAATCCTTCTCTTATCTGTAATTGGGTGTGATTTTTTTTGTTGTTTGTGAAAAACACTGAACAAAAATAGCGTCCACTATGCGGGCCAAGAAAACAGACCCTGATGACAGCCAGCTTATCTTCCACAGCTGCCTGAACAAACCAACACCTAATGGATATGTTTTCAGGAACACTTCCAACCACGAGCTAACACTGTTACTCGGAGGTGACGGACAGACCCGTGCAGTTTTAACGCAGCTCTCCACTTTCCATTAGAAACGAGGAGACTCTGGTTACTTCCCCTTCCTGCATAGTGTCACATTGCCAGAAATATCCCAAGAGCAATGGGGCTGCGGGCAGGAGGGGAGAGCAGCGCACACGTCTCAGCACTCGTTTCCTCCGGCTTCAAGGAAGTTTTTAAAAAATAAAGAACATGAACCAGAGCGGCTGTAAATGCAGAAAGTTCCCACTCTGCTTCTTTCCCACCCTCACCCTTCCCTTTGGACAAGCACATGATTTCTAGCAGGTGTGAAAGAGCCAGGAGACAAACAAAAGAGATAAAAGACAGAACAACTCTGAAGAGCACTCAGGAGGCCACATCACAAGCACAGCACACCAGCTCCTAGCAGGCAGAGGCACTCTACCATTATCTAGTTCACAGATGGACCACCCAGAAAATCTGGGAGCAATTAGGAAGGAGAACAAACAAATGCGTGGCAAGAAGGGGGGAGGGAGAATGGGAAGGAGGGCCAGAAGGGATTCCTTACATCATCTCCATGCAAGCGTTTCGAGAATGAAGTGAAGCTATATGGAGGAGGAATGCAGATGAAAGAGTTTGCAGTGAGAATGCAATAAAATGAAAGGCTATGAAAACATGTAGCATATGAATGAATTACAACACGACCATTAAATTTACAGAAAGTCAGGACTGTGTAAACAGAGAAGAAACCCATCAAGTTCTTGGAGACACATACACGCACAGATAAACAGATCAAATGTGAACTGTCTCTCTCGCTATTAACAGTATGTCAACTTGCCTTGCAACCCAGAGATTCATCAGGCAAAAAGCTGTCTCGCTCTCCTCTCTGGCTGTCAATAACTGGCACTAAATATTGGCAGGAAAACACAAATGCTACAAACCAACACAAATGCAACTTTACACCCTATGCATGGAAAAGAACCACAGCAACAGCCAAGGGGCTCATACTACCAGAGCCGTGTGCCTGGTCTGCTGGCCTGGATTACACTTGCCTGGCATCTAATCAGTCAGCATCTCACAACACCAAGTTACACCTTTCTGGCCTGGGAGGCTGACCTGATTTTCATACCAAGTGCTTTAGCTCCAACTGACTTCAAGGTGTTTGCTCAGCCCTCTAAAAACAAGGCCCATTTTAAATTAAATGCCTAATTTCAGGCATCTTTCTTGGTTTTAATTGTGGCATAGAAGGTTGCCTTTGTCTACCAGTGCTGCAAAGTTTGCTTTTTCTTTTTAAATTATTTGATGTGTGACTTTTGCAAGTGAGTGCAATTTATAAGCTGTGTTTTGTAGGATCCAAAAGTCACAGCAGAAAAACAACTCAAAATAAAAACTGAGCATACCAAGTGTTTTGAAGTGATCTTAATCAATAACACTGTGTTTACTTTGTCTTGGCCTCTGAGGAGCAAACTCTGGTCACTAAGGACATCTTATAAACACATTAAAGTTCACACAAACATTTTTTAAAGCTTTTCACTTTACTATAATCTTGGTAGACTCACTCCCTGATAATTTTCCCTAAAAATAGTGCTTATTAACTCACAAGTTCAGCTGAAAAATCTACTATCTGCTCGTCTTAGCGGCAGCTACAATATGGCAATTAGTTTACCTTAGAATAGACATCAAAGGCTCAAAGGATGACCCTGCCCCAGAAGAACACAATCTTTTTAAAGCCCCATTCCACTCAGTTTGCTAGTTTATAAGGTTTGCTAAAATCCAGTTTAATGATCATGTAGTTTCTTAGCAAGTCATGTGGTGCCATATTGTGTAAGGAACAGAAGAGTTAGTTCTAAAACCTTTTTGAACTTGGGGAGCTTTTCCGACCAGCTGATGCAGAACCACGTTCTGAGATGGTAATGAAACTGTCGGATGCAAAAGCCTCACTATGATTTTCTTTAGCTTCTTTCAGAAGAGACAAAAGTTCCCACACAACACATACTCTCCCTTACAATGAAAGATTCAATAATAGCAATATGTTCAAGTCCATATGGTGTGGATATAAGGGAGAGGCACAACGAGAAACTGAGAAACCTGAAAGCAGAGGCCTGCCTGTAAGCTGCAGTGGAAAAAAGCAAAGGCATAAAAAAAAGAAAAATCCTTAAGGTGAGACTGAATGAAGTTGTAGGGCACACTGGATTAGTCAGTTCTCCTTTCACCTACAGTCTAACTGTCTTCATATCCTGAGTCGCAGACAGTTCCCTCCCCTGATATGGTTATTGGATTTTTTTTTTTTTTTTTTAATGACATAGAACAAAGTCCTTTCAAAACCAACCTGGCCCAGTGGCCAGGTAATACCACTACAACTTACCAGGCAGGAGACTGAGCAGCAGTTGCTAATACAGCTTCACAGCAATAATGCAGGAGAAAGGAAACTGGAAGTGTTGATTTCAGTGGGGGCAACAGACATATATGAAAAGGAACAGCAATAAATGAATAATACAGGAGAGAAGCCTTCTTACCCTGTCTGGAATCAGCTTTGAATGGTGAATGAGAAATAGGGAGGGGAGAGAACAAGAAGTGTCTGTTTTAAGCATTAGCATAGACTTGCCCCACCTCTTTCCATTACTATCACGAAGCATGGCTTTTCCCAGCTCTCTCGTCTTCGTCTCCAACTCCTTAACTTGCTCCAGCAAAGTTTTATGGTAGGTATGCCTGGCCCTGTACCACAAGGAAAAGATAAACAGAAAAACAAAACAAAAAGGCCACGTGAACATTTGTTTTGTTACAAAGCCCCAATTTTACCTCTCAGATTCTCATCTGAGGTGCAGGGCTTTCCCTTGAAGGATTTGGGAAGTAAGTCACAGTGTATGCATGTCAATCCAGGTTCACAATACCTGGGAAATATTACTTAAGAAATGAGAAATCCAAAGGACTTCAAATTCAGCAGAGCTTGGCTGCTTCAACACAACACTCAAAATCTAACCAAGCAGCAAAGCTACAGGACTATGGAGACCTGACACTGCTGCCGTGGGACTGCTCAGGACCCGGGCACTCAGACAAAAGAGCTGGGATTCATTGAATATTCATGGCAGTAAAACATGATTCCACTCTCTTTTGAGCTATGCGTGGCACTGCTCTGAAAACCTGAGGAGAGTCGCAGATAATAACTGCCATTCAAACCCCTTTATTTTCATTTATCAGTCTCACATGACTTGGAAAGGCACTTCTCTCCCCACTGAGCTTTCAAAGTGACAGTAACAAGACTGGCTGTGTCCTCTTTTCTCAGCTTGGGGATTCAAAGAGCAATCCATGTACCACATGTGCAACCAAAATCTGGAGAGCAGTGTCCCCCATGTAGAGACTTGGCCCTTTTTTTTCCCAGTTTCACCCACTGCTCTAGTGCTATTATACCTAAATTACATTGATGTAAGTGGAGAATCTAGTCCCCTCTGTCCCGACATGTGCAAAGCAATAATACAAAATGCAGGGATCTTTCTCCAACGGGCAGTTTTTGATCAGCTTCCTCTTTTGTTTCACTTAAAGGAGGAAAAGTGTCCCATGAGATAATATTGATTTGCATGTGACTGCACAATAAGCCTGAAAACAAGATAGAACCAAGCTGGCTGAGACACCACTTGCTTCATGGCATTAAAATAATATTCTTCAACTCTAGAGATGGCAAAAATTTCCTTACAATTTTTATATGCAGATATTATAATCTTTAACCAATGATGTAAAACAATGTCAAACTCCCTCTAGCAGAAAAATAATAACTGGTATATATGTAATTAAAATATAATAAAGATGCATTTATTTTTAAAAAGCATGATTCTTATTACTCCTTCCATGGGGAATAAGAAACAAAGACCACAAAATCTTTGCTGATACTATTTTAGATTGACAGTGCCTTGGTATTAATAGTAGGTTATCCAAGTCCTCTGGTCTTTGTGTTGCTGAATTAGGCCCCAAATGTCTCAAAATGAGAAGCTAAAATGAAAACTAATTTTCAAAACACATCTGTATTTAAGAGGAAAAAAAAGAGAACAACAAAAGATGAAGTATAGCAAAATCTGGAGATAAAAGAGTATCAGGATGTACTTAGACAAGCGCCATATTAAAACAAACCACCAAAGATGTATGATTTGCAAGGGAATACCAACGTACTGTGACGGAAGAAATCAGTAGCAAGGATATTTTTAAAACCCGTAATGTTTCAAGAACGTGAAATTACCAATAGCTGCACAGAAATTAATTAGATTCAACTTCTTATAACTAGTTAGGCTAATGATTAGACTGGTCTCCTCTTTGAGGAAGGGAAACTATAGCGATTAAAATGAGAAAGCTTTGAGCTATTAATTCTTATAATCTTTACAGTTGACTTCACTATCACACTCTTTAATTTGAGTAAATACATTGAAATTTTGACCTTGAACTCATCTCTTACCTTTTAAAGAGGCTGTATCTACTATTGCAAACTTGAAGACTGAGCATTTCTGGAACTTTTAAAATCCTTTATAACTGGTTTTCCCACAGACAAGAACACAGAAATCTACAAGTTATTCAATCTCCTCCAAGGTTCCATGTTCATCTTGCCATACACCGTAAGAGATGTTTTTCTTTTCCCTTGGAGTGACTATGGAACTCAAAATTTAACAGAATGGAGCCTGAGCATCAAAGCCCAATTAGTGCAGCACAGCATGAGGAGGCACTGCATAGATATTTCACAATATGGAAAAAATACTGTTCTCTTGAAATTGGGGGTACTGCAGTAAGTAGTGTGAAATGATGAGATAAATGGGCTCTGCTGTGGCTGGGTATCCATAAAGCAACAATAAACCTGCAAGGAATTGTTATGCATCGAGTCACTCCTTCACTTGGAAGCAACAGCATCCATGGAAGAATCAGTAATTAAGTATTTATAAAAAGGGCCTGAGCTAACCTATCCACATGGTTCTCCAAATCCAAATACTAAAATATGGTATACAACTGCCTCAGAGTCTGGGCTTGCTCACATCAAAGTCAATTGCAAATACTCCATGAACTGCTGGCAACAGGACTGGATACTTCATGACTTTTTCACAGCAGCACATTATTAACTTTTGATACACAAAAATACAGGTAGAAATCTTAGCTTTTACCTTGTACTTTACAAGTGGCCCTAGATGCACAATCAGTCCTCAATAAATTATGAGATCTTGTGTTCGCTGTTACTGTTCAGCTGAAATCTGATGTGCTACATAAAGACAAACTCACCTTTTCCCTCACACACTGGGATATTAAGATTATAGACCATCAGAACAGGCAAAGGGTTATCTTTGTATTTTGGGTGGCCCTTCCCCTTCCAGGCCAGGGAAGTGCATAGCTTCACTTCACTGCCCTAGGAGAATATTTAGGGGGTTTGGGAGGCCAGAATCTGCCAGGGAGAAGTGTGGTTATGTTCAGAAACTTTTCTTAAATGTGATGACACCTCTACTCTGGCTCATTATCCTCAACGCCATTTTAGGAGTCTTGTGTTCCAGGGACTGCAAGCGTGTGCAAGGATGCGAAGAGCTCCTCATACCTTCTCTCTTATTTATGCTGCGGAGCTGGCAAATGCAACACGCGTCTGCCCCCACAGTAAAAAAAAAAAAAAGTACATGAAGATTTTGGTTGTGATTGGAAGGCTCAGGGTATTTTTCACTGTAACACTAAGTACTGAGACACCAATTATTAATAAATTCTTGCTCTCTTGCCTAATTTTGCTGGAATACACTCTATGTTTTTACAATTCCCCCATAGCTTTGTGGCTCAGCTATTTTGAGACTTCCTAGCACCAGTGACATGCATTCAAGTGACATGTGCCAACTGTGAGGAAGCACTCACCTTATAAAGCTCTGTTCATTTCAATGGTAGCACAACTGGGACTTTTATAAGGCAAAAACCAAATCCAAACCAAGCCACTGAATTCAGGGTAGTGGACCAAAGTTAACAACCTGCTATTGCAGCCAAGTATTAATAATAAGCTTCCTTCTCTTTTTAAAGAGAGTTTTCCACATTTCCTTGATTCACTTACAAAGAAAAAAAACCCCGTAAATAAAAAAGCCTGGAGCTGCAGAGAACATGGGAGATAAGAGGTGTGTTGACAACTGTAGCCTGTGTAAGAAAGGGAACATGTAAAACTAGGTCTTACTTACAGCATTACAAGTTTTGATAGTGGATGCAGCACAGCAGTTTAGAAACAAAGGTTTGTATGCATTTGAAACGCTTTCCTATCCCTTTTAACCTTCTTCCAGACAAAAACTCTGTACCATATTTATGTTTTTCTGGCAGTATTTTGTACTGAAATTAGGCATGTACCTTTTGGGTCACATGGATGCTCTTTCTGCGGACATATGCTTCATGTCCAAAAGAAACTGAAAGGGATGAATTCCATGACCATGAGAAGTCAGAGCTGCTGGAATTTTACGGCTAAAACCAGTTTCTGCTGACTTACAGACAGCAATGTGGTGTAGCTACTGCTGTGGAAATCTGCCGGCTGATTTCCAGAGGCCTTGCGCTCAAGTTTTGAATGGCAAGTCTCTTGGAAAGGAAACAGACCTTTACTCCTTCCATATGGCAGTGCTGATAGCTGTGTCATTTCATTTATCCTAGTTAAAATGTTAGTGGTGTTAATTTTTCAGTGATAGGTTAAAAAAAAGAAAAGAAAAAAAAAAGTCCTGCTCAGAGAACAGATTTTTGCTTAATGTTGGTAGGAGCCTCCTGTTTAAAATCTGTTGGGATAATATCCAGTATATCAATCATACACATTTGTCTTGAGAGCTTCACAATCTCTGTACATTCTTGGTCTGAAACACTGAAAGGATTATGTTGCTGAGATTTCTCTAAGAAATATTAAAGCACAGGTTGAGTCAGTAACAGAGTTTTAAATGAGTAACAGCTGAGGATGAGCCTGCCTTGGTCTGGCCTATTTTACAATTCTTAAGTCATTTTTGCCAAGAACTGATAAGAACCAAGGACAACTTTGGGACATTCAACTATCATGAAAATATTTCAAAAACTAACACGGAATCGTGGACATCTAAATATGTATTTGATCCCTGATGCTGCAGACAGTTCAGCTCCTGTTTAGCTTTAGTGACAAAAGTAGTTCCACTGACTACTTCTAAGCAGGTAATTTTACACAGTGCCTGACACAGGAGCAGGGCCTGTTATGCTAAATGAATTCTAAGATTTTTTTTTTTTCCCCACAGCTTTAAAAAGCAGGTCATAGACACAGTTCAGTATCTAAATTTAAACTTTTAGCCTCAGCTTTAGAATTTTAAAATAATTTTCAATTGGAGAAGTTTAATGAGTGTAACAAAAAACTCTCTAGTGTGCTAGACTATTAAATCATAGTTTGGCCTGAACAGAAATTTTACATTATGATACCTAGTTTTAATTTTAGCAGTGTAGCTCATGAAAATTAAGCTGAGGAAGAAAATAGGAAAACATTTAAAAAGTACTTACCGATCAGTAGATTTGCCTACTGTTTAATTTAGCTGTGCTATCAACCCCATAGGAAGAAAAAAGATTTTCAGGTATGTGCATATGACCTGATTTATCCTTTTATGCCAGTGTTTGAAATGTACCTGTATTTGGGAAACTTTCTGCTTTTTTCAGTACTTTCTGAATTTCTCCGTAAACAAGATCAGTTGACTTGGCAGCGTTAGGTTTACAATTGGACTCAATGGTCTTTTCCAACCTAAATGATTCAAAGAATCTTCTTTGGCTGACTGACAGCTCATTCCTGGAGCAAAGTGTTATGTGTTACGATGCTTCACTTCAAGCCTTTGTGACAAGTGACAAGCTAACCTATATTCCCCTCTTCACTCCAGCTACGATCTGTCTTTTTGCCCCAGAGTTGGAATGCCCTGGGTGCTCCTCACACAAGGTTATTACATATCCATGTAACAACACCTTCTTGGTTGTAACACAGCTTTCCAAGGGAAAGGATGAAAATTTTGGTGAAATTGATGAAATTGATGAAAATTTTACGACACCTAAAAGCAACCTGAACAAAACACCAGAAATTCTAAATTAAAATGATACTTCTGCATTTCAAATTGCAATGGTAGAGAAGTTAAGTTGCTTCTCTTTAAATCAAAGTTCTTGAAACTGCTTGCCTTCCACAATGCTTTGAAACCACAGAGTTTTGAGAGAAGGGGATTATACAGGTTTGTATTTCACAAGGGTTGTTCCTCCTCCCTAGGCAGGGAAGGAATCATTAAGACTTTACTTCAACCACAGAGTTCAGAGTATTGCTCTTCTCTCGGTTAAGCCTTGGAAGACCCACTGTTGAAGGAGAACCTAAAGGGCAGCTGACAAATAACTGGGAGCTTACTGGGTATGGATCAGAGTGCCATGTTTTTACCTTCTACCTAACCTTAGTCAAATTGAACGAATTATTTGCTCCTTTTTTGGAATAGGAAATCTCTGACGTCTAATTTAAATTTGCCTTTGACAAAAGGGTAGACAACACAAATAAGACGACACACCTTCATTACTCAGACAAGGCTGCCTCCTTCAGATTCAGGGCTCATTCTCTCACATTGCTGGTTGCATTGGCAGGTGAGAAATGACTCCCACTTCACCCTGCTCACAGGTCTCCCAAACGAATATCACCATTTTGCACTCACTGAAAGGCTTCATAGTTCTTTACAGAACAATACTGGACTGGACAACATGTGCATACAGAATAATTCCTGTAACACAGACAGGACAGGTTCAGGACTTACGCTGTCCATGCCACGTCTTTAAGAAGGCACGCAGTGGGCACGAGAAACAAGCCAAACCAGAAGTATCCACATCTTAACACCATTCCAGCCTATGAAGAAAAAGAAATAAATCATGAGTATTTTCAAGCCATTACACGTTAAGTGGTTGTTTACAAGGAAAAGGTAGAGTGATGGTGTCAAACAGGTACTGCATCCATGATCTGCATGATGTTGAAATTTGGTGGTGGTGGTAAGTCTCATTAACTTGTAACAGAAGTTAGGCCTATAATTAACAAACAGCAATGGCATTTCTCATTGTGATCATTCCTTATGATCTCAAATTCCTTCGAAATTTTCAAAAAAATCAAGTGAATCCTCCATTGATATTAGTTTGTGGATCCAGGCAGACACATTTTCACTCATGAAAAAGTGCACTGTAAGTATATTTAGCTTCCACTTTTTGACTATCTTTTGTGCCCTTTGCTTACTGTCTTTCTACCCACTGTTCTAGATCTCTGAGCAGCATCAAACTGACATGAAGAAAATACATTTCTCACTAAAATGTTTCACTCATATACCACTTTATTTATAGAGTACTTCCTGTTCAAACTACTGCTGCCTGAAACCCAGGGTGGGAAAGATTCATTCCTGTCCCACAAACGGCTTTTTTTCTTTTTTTTCTTTTTTTTTTTTTTATAAACAAAGAGCTCAAAGTTTATATTTGCGTTCTTCTCATTGTTTTAATGCTTGAAGAAAAAGTTCAGTAGGATTTGAGAAGAAAGATATCTGCAAATCCCAGCACACAAACATAGTTAGGGAACAAAGTTGAAATATAGCACTATTTACAGAAATGCTGTTTTAGGTCATTAGAATCTTTTACAGATAAATTAATGGTAAGGCCCAGGTTTGCTACATGGAAGACTTCAGACAACCTCACCACCTCTTGCATGCACACACACGGAGCTCCCATAAGAACCATTTAAGTTCTCTAGTACATTAGAAACAGAAAAGACTTTTTTTTTTTCTGTAATGACTCATGCACAGCACACAACTAAAACAGGGGCTGAAAGGTGTCTACAGCGTTTCCAGTGGCTAGCCACATTTTGCTCTTCTGCCAGTTATGGACACTGCCATATCCCTTCCCCAAAACCTTTACTTCTCAATATTTTGTATGCCGCATATAATACACACACTAATCTACTGACATTCGTGTGCGATGTTGCTGAAGGCAGGGAAGCCTATACCCATGGACACCGAACCAAAGCAGCTGTCTCACCAGTACAACACAGGCTTGGCTGGCTCAGCTGTGCGTCACTGTTGTAGCACACAAGAGACGAGCGGCCCGCAGTGCTGAAGTGTCAGGACATTTTACAGACAAACACAAAGTTGAGCTACAGAACATGGAACCAAACCAGATGCTTACTAGTGTTTGAAATACATTGTGAGAAGACAAAAATTTGTAATTATACCCTTTGTAGGACAAACGTGGTTGATCACAACAGAACGAAGTTCCACCACTCACTATAGCAAAGCTTTAAAACTGAGAAAACCTATCACATTGCATTGCCAGGATGTCCACTAGTACCACCCAGCATCTTCTCCTGGTGTTGATCTCTGTTCAAAGTTGTCCACCTCACAACTCGGTCATATTTAGCCGCAACTTGCCCTTGAATTGCCAAGTAGTGAGTACTTCCAAAAGCGTTTTTCACTTTTGAATGTTAAATCCTTCATGCCGTTGCTGGACTGACAGATCAGTGGTAAATCTTGTGCTGAAACCAAGAGCAAGCTAGACCATGCTAAAACATTTATGGACACTTTGCCTCCCACACAGACAGTAAGCAAAAACATTCCAGTCCCAGAATCAGCTCTCAGTTATTTGTGAGCCCTCATGCCTACTTTCACATGAGAATGCTAGAAGCAAATGGGCAGTTTTGATCTATGCTTATTTAAGGAAAAGGATGTACAGGAGTAAGAGGGAAATCTTAACCCTATTGTTAGCCAAAGAGCTGAACTATAACACCACAATAGCAAAACATAATGAGATTTATCCTCATGCTTTGCTTTTCTTTGGCTATGACCCTCAAGTGCTACCAGTCTAACCACCGCAGCATTTCCACCAACCATCCTTTCATTGCCTGCGCTAATAAAGGCTAAAAAAGGGACATAGTATTCTATACGCATTTTCTGCTGTTTTGGCTTCAAGTATTTTACGTTCCACTTTTTGCTTTTCTAGCTGAAGGGAACTCAACACACTTTTAATGCGCCGAACAATCTCAGTATGTGTTCAGTATAAGTTTAAATGCTATTATTGTTGTTATAAATGTTGACAACTCAATCAATGGCTATGAATTTGGACATCTCACATGTTAAGCTCGACACCAAAAAACCTCAAGCCAAACACTTTTTGCCTGCAATTATGCATTTTACTCAAGTATTATTCTGTCCACAAACTGCACCATAACAGTAAAACTATTCATCTCATGTGAACCCTGTCAGACACTCACTTTACTACTGGCAAGCCTTTTTCCACACAACCCTTTCCAAGATTTTACTCCATTCCTGAGCTCATCTGGAAGGTTTCTTCCCTGTTCATCTCTATTTTCCTTTTGGAGTTATATGACGGGTATGCCGCATGACAGTGAACTGGTTTGTCTTGCATGAACAACTCTGAACTCTGCCTCCTCTCCGGCAGGGTTACACCATCTGCTCACAGGAGAGGAGCTCCTCAGCAGAGGATTCACTGGAAACCACCTAGCAAGTTCTGGGCACATCCATAGACAGCATTTTTAGGATATTCTCCAACTTGTGGGATAGAGGGCTGGGTTATGAACAGATGCTATAGTAAGAACACCTATATATCACAACAAAGCCTTCCTGAGGATTCACAGCTGTTGCTGTGCTCCATTCCAGTTGTTCAGCTATTCATGACAGCAGTGAAGACAGTACTGCAATACATCTTCAGAGAAACACGGCAGTTCCATACTCAGTCCCAACAAATAATACCCTTCAGCTATCAGTTATCTCCCCCAGATAAGAAAAGCAGAGCTACTAAACAGGAACCACCACCATTTTTTTTTTCTTTTTTAGAAGGTCACCGAGACTAGGAGGAGGAGAAACAGTTTGGTTTTTTAAACAAATTCAAAATTTGACCAGCTTTGTCATCACACAGGCCCCACGATATGCAACTAAGTAATTTTTATTCTGTCTACTGATGTAAACATTAGTGACTAGCACATCCAAAGCCAACTACCAGAAACCATTAATCACATGGCACTGCAAAAACACTTGAGACTAATGCAAGTCCTCCTGCTGA